GGTCTCTGTTCAGAGGGGCTCCAAGAAGCTTCGTGGTGTTGACGTTTCGGGTTCAGGGTTGGCAGGGGGGGCTTCGTATTATAAGGAAACCTAATAAAGACCCGAGGTTTCTTACTCATGTTCCTATATGTATGTATGTATGTATGTATGTATGTATGTATGTATGTATGTATGTATATATATATATATATGTATGTATGTATGTATGTATGTATGTATGTATGTGTCCTGATGCGGAGTTCGCAGACGGCTGGCAAGGCCTTTCAATCCAAACCTCTAACACCTTAAGCCCTTTTTGTTGAGCAAAGCCCTAAACCAAAACGATTCCCTACTAATTACCGAGCAGCCTCAAGGATCAACCCCAGCGGGCCCAGCGTTGGGAACTGCCCAGCTGGGGCTCAGTAGGTCCGGTAGTAGGTGTGCCACTTCGGGTTTAGGGTTCAGTGTTCAGGGTTTAGGCTTTGGGTTTAGGGTTTATTGCAGCCCTAAAAGCCAAAACCGCTTAGGATGCAGCGCCCAAGGGCGCAAGTCAGCCCAAACCCGGGGCCCCAATAAACGCACCAGGGTAGAGAACAGCATGTGGCCTCTGAGCGAGTATTGGATGCTGAGCAACATGCATCTTGGACGACTCTTCTGGACTGCAACATCAGAAACTGCAGACACAACGGCCCTATCGCTGCTTATTTGATGTATCGGTACACCCCACACCTTCACCACAAGCCCCAAAACAAAGACAGCGGGCAACCCTCAACCCGAAGCCTCAGACCCTCAACCCTAGACCCTCAGGCACGATCATCAGCAAGACTGTTGATGATATAAATCCCGCATGACCGATCCTAACCTATGGGAATTATGGTACATCTCTGATTATGATGGGTAATGCAGGATTTAACTCATCAACCGTATGACCCTCATGCAAGGCGCTGATCCTCGATGGCTTTTGCATTCAGCACACCTGGGAGGGTACAGATAGCAGGCCTGAGGCTTGCCGGCCGATCGCGGCCGAGGTTGAAAAATGGTTTAGGGTTTAGGGTTCAGGGTTCAGGGTTTAGGGTTTAGGGTGTAGGGTCCAGGGTTTAGGATTGGACTTTGGGGCATATGATAGCTTAACTCTAATAAGAAGAGGAATCGTGATGAGAATGATAGTAATAATAATAATAACAATAACAATAATAATAATAATAGAAGTATAGATACTTGTTCAGGCAATAGTAGGCACGTCTGCTCTGAAGCCACCAGGAATTTGGGCGTAGGGCTGCAGGATTTAGAGCAGAAGGGCCGACGCACATTTTAACTGTCACGAAGACGTCAACCATGACGGTTTAACGGAACCCTTTGAACCCCTGGGACCAAAGGGGTGCTTTCGAGGTCCCTAAACCCTAAACCCTAAACCCCGAGATCAGACGAAGCACAATTTCGGAAGATGGCTTTTCGGAGCTTCGCGCCACCCGGCATGGCCCGAATGCTGCTGCTGGCAAAGAGGAGAAAGCCTGCAAGGGGTTTAGGGTTTAGGATTTTAGGGTTTAGGGTTTAGGGTTTTAGGGGTTTAGGGTTTAGGGTTTAGGGTTTAGGGTTTAGGGTTTAGGGTTTATGGTTTTGGTTTCTGCGTGCGATTGCGGCTTGGGGCTCCTGCCCGGGCCTGTCGTGTCATGGATTCAGGGTTCAGGGATTTCATGGTTTACGGTTGAGGCCGTGGCTCACGTGGCTGTAGGATATGACGAACATGAGGGGGTAGTCGGCCCCAAACTGAAGACTTATATCCCATAGCCGTACCCATAAAACAAAGTGGATTAAATCCTAAACCGTTTTAAAAATTCAAGCCCGAGACCCTAGACTATAGATCCTTAAGCCTTCAAACCCCAAACCCGTAGGGGCCGAGCACCCTAGCCAACTAAAGGCAAACCTGTTCAAGTATTGTAGGAATAGATCCTTACTTCCCCAATCAACCACGGAAACACGTGGTAAAACTTTCAGAGTACTGCGAAGTTATAAGAACCCAAGAAGTTTAAAGGTTGGGTATCGGAGAACTAAGTATAAAACCTCAAGAGGTGAAAGGTTACCTACTCTGCTTCTAAAAGACCTGCTTCTTGCTGCTGCTTTTGGAAGGAAAAGTCGTCTTGGGAATGGAGGGTTCAAGGCTTCGGGCCTTAAGGCTCAGGGTTTCCAGGCTCTTTGTTTAAGGGTTCAGGGGTTTAGGGTTTAAGGGGCTTAGAAAAGAACCCGCCCTACCTGAAACAACCAGAACCTCCGTCAAGGCCCCACGTAAACTCTAGTCGAATTTTGAAGAGTGCATAGGTTGAGAGAAGACCTTCATACCTGCAGCTATGCGCAAACAACCGCTCGTTAACACAAGAAGCTCGCCGTTAAGGTTTGCTGCAACTCCCCTCAAACCCAAAATCATGTTTCTCTTGACTTCTGCGAGTTGTGACCGCCTTCTTGTGGCACTGCGAAGGGGGACGGCGTCATGTAGCCGAAGCCGGAGTAGCCATACCTCCAAAACCCTAAACCCTAAACCCTAAACCCTAGACCCTAAACCCTAAACCCTAAACCCTAAACCCTAAACCCTAAACCCTAAACCGGCGACAGATCTCAGAGGTTCAGGGCTAGGGTTGCTCCTAAGTGAAACCGTAAGCGCCAGACGCGTCGTTTTCCAGTCGTTGTCGTCCATTTAGGGTTTAGGGTTTAGGGTTTAGGGGTTTAGGGTTTAGGGTTGAGGGTTTAAGGTTTAGGGTTTAGGGTAAGGCAAGGACAGCTTACACTTCCAGAAGAGCACCACTTTAAGAGCACCCAACAAGTTCAATGAGTGGTGTTGGAGAACTAACTGTACTGTAACCCTCAGGGTCTATGTAACCCCAAACCCTCCTTTTGAGCAGGGACTGCAATTAACCCCAAACCCTAAACCCCTAAACCACTAAACCCTAAACCCTATACCGAACGCACAGGTTACGATGATACCTGGGCCCTTCAGGTACCTGTAAGGACCTTTTTTTGCAGGTACCATGGGTCCTGAAGGTGAGAAACCCTAATAAGACTCCCCTAAACCCTAAACCCTAATAAGACTCAGCCTGCTGGACTTACGGTTTAGGGGTTTAGGGTCTAGGGCTTCGACTCTCACGCTGCTTCGGGTTTAGGGTTTAGGGTTTATAGGGTTTAGGGTTTAGGGTTTAGGGGTTTAGGGGTTTAGGCTTTAGGGGTTTAGGGTTCAGGGATTGAGGGGTTTCTAGGGTCCAGGGACATGCGAAAGCGCTTTCACCTTTCTAGAAGGCAATGAAGGAAGCTTACAACTCCGTATTCCAAGTACCGCGGTCCCTAAACCCCGAACTCTCAACCCCTAAACGCCCCCCACCCTAAATACCATTACAGTATAGAGTTTTAGGGGCCCTAAACTCTAAACCCTACCCTAAACCCTAAACCCTTAACCCTAAACCCTAAACCCTAAACTATAAACCGAGCAGAGTGGGGGGTTTACTGTATAGCCTCTCTCAGCAACTGTGCGTGAATCCAAGGGGCTCGTACGCATCGCCTCCCGCTCCCGCGCCAGTGGTGCCTTTCCTCGCTTCCCCTACTTGGAGGCCCGGGGGACTTAGTAAGTCGGGTATAAATAGGGTTATAATTGGGGTAACTCTATTTAGGGTACGTATAACTCAACTTATAACCTACTTACTAAGTCCCCCGTGCCTCCAAGTAGGGGTCCATACATACTACTATTCTGGAATTAAGCCCCCCAAACCGTAAGACGAATGGTCTTTTGGGACCTAATTCCATAATGCTTGTATATATGGACCCTCTGGGCTAAGCCCCTATAAACCCTAAACCCCTAAACTCTGAACCGGGCTCGTTTCACCCCAAACAGCGCTCGGGGCCTCGCGGCTTTAGGTTTCTGGCTTGAGTGTTAGAGGGTTTAGGGTTTAGGTTTTAGGGTTTAGGTTTTAGGGTTTAGGGTTAAGGAGCCACTACAGGTCGGGAGTTTAGGGTATATAGGGCTTCTATAAGGCAGATAGACCTTCTATAAGGCTCCTATAACGGTAACTACTCACCTGAAAATGTCCTAGATTCAGGTTCAACCGCTCGTTGTTTTCTGTCAATTTCAGACATCCGAGGGAGGAAACGCCAAAGCTCTTGGAGCGCCAGGCAGAACCCTCAACATTAGCCTTGCTTTAGATTAAAGAAATGGAAGGCAAAGGTTGACACCTAAACACTAAAACCTGAACCCTAATTCAACTAGGTTCTTTGGCAGTGGACTTTAGGGTTTAGGGCTTATTCTAGAGCAAGGCTCTGCAAGGCGGAGTGGGCTGGTGCCAGTTGGCACTCAGCAGCCCACCTTAAAACTGCCTTTCTTAAACAAAACTGGTTGGTGTGAGGCCGAAGAGCATCCTTAAGGAGCCGGTGAGACCTCTGAGACCCCCTCTGATAAGCTGCCACTTGCGCAGGGAGTGCAGTCGTCTGCAGGAGCTTCTGCATACCAATCCTGAGACTCGTAGTACTGAGAGACGAAGCCTGTGTTGCAGGGCACCACCTCCACCGAGGAGACATCACATCTGGGCGGCGGCGGCGCATTGCGGAAGGGGGGCAAGTCTAAGGCCCCTGTGTCCACATCCAGGTTGTCGCATGCACCGATATCGTCGTCCAGCACCTGCGCCTGCATCATGGCCGAAACCAGGCAGATCACCTTCTCGGCCGCCACGAAGGTCGCCTTGTGGGAGGCCTCCATGGTCGTGAAATCGGGCTTGGAGCTCTCCCAACTGCCGAGAGTCGCAGCAGTTCTGCAGACTCACACACCCGTCCCCGACGCTCGTCTGCAAGACGCAGAAGCTGCTCTCGAACTGACGCTGAAGGCCGTTGCACTTGGCCTGCTTCTGCAGGTACCTCCCATCCGCCTTTTCGTAGTCCGCCTTCTTCTTGGGGCCCGATTGCCGGAGAGTGTTGGCCCAAGTCCGAATCTTCTCCGCGCAGCCCATCATCACGTCATGATGTGGGAGTTTCCGAAAATTAGGGGTACCTTATTTTGGGGTCTTTATATTAAGGATCCTATTGTTTAGGGTGCTATCTTTGGGTCCCCTATTTTCAGAAACCCCCATGTTGCAAGGTCCCCAGACTCCCGTCGTTGAACTGCGCGAAGCAGGGCTGCGGGGGCGCTGTGAGAGCTTCATACTCCACCCGCGCAACTTCTCGCATTCCACGGGCGCGACCTCCTCGCCTCTGCAAGTGTCGTGCTGGCCTAGGTTGGCCCTGAAATCCTTCAAGATTTAAGGTTTAGGGTTTAGGGTTTAGGATTTAGAGTTTAGGATTTAGGGTTTAGGGTTTCGGGTTTCGGGTTTCGGGTTTAGGGGTATTCGTAAATAAGTTCCTCTTAAGATCAAAGCAGGGGAAACGTATAAATGTCCCAAAGGCCTACCTAGACCCTCCATCTACCCTCTATTAGACCCTAAATGCCCTTAATTTGGGACCATATACCCCTATTTGAGGGTACTTGGAGGGTCCTGGTAAGCTAGTGGCCTGCGAGCTTATCCTTGGCAGCCTTTGGTTTCGAAGAGGAAGGGGCCATGCAACTGGTTATGGCGTCGTAGAGGGCGTTGAGCTGCTTGATGGCCGTGTGGTGGTCATCCAGGGTGTCTTTCTTGATCTTGTCCATCTGCTTTCGGATCCCGTCCAAAGCACCCGAGGGGGACTCATCCAGCTTTGAGCCTTTCTTCGCCATCTTCTTGAGTCCTTCTGTAAGCTCCCCAAGGCTCTCCGGGCTGTGAGAACTCTCGGATGCGGTTTGCAAGAAGGAGAAGGGAGCTTTGGCATCTTCCGGTGCCTTCAGCTTCTGCTGCATCAGGCTGTTCTCCTCCACGCAGGTCTCACCCAGCCCAAAAGCAAGGCCGCCGGAGGCGATCACAACTGCCAAACAGGCGCGGGCCATTCTTTGCACGACCTTTCGGCCAGAGATCGAAGGACGGTTCGGTGTGGGCAAAACTTGTGCCCAAGTCCGCAGGAACCCGGAAACACTGGCACAGGTCATGAGGTAGAGGTTCGTGGCTGCAGGCTGAGAAAATCCGAATCTTCCAAATCCAAAACCTACAACAGACATCTGGTCATAAGCCCGGAACTTATAACCTCAGACCGTAAACCCGAAACAAAGAACCCCGAAAGCTCTGCTGACAAGATGTCCGCCGGTCACGGCTGCGAAAGTCACCTCCGCCACCTTCCATGAGATTTCGCAGGGGTTCGGCGCTCACACTCGGACACTCCAGGCGAGGCATGTGGTTCGAGGTCTGAAGTTTAGGGTCTTCGGTTTCGGTGTGCAGAGATGTAGCTGCTTGCTCCTTAAGCAAGGAACGTACGGGGCCGATGTCAACAGGCAGAAGTCACAGCCAAGTTCAACATTCATGTGAGCGTCGCACTTCGTGGTGCTTCAATTTGTGAGCGGACGGTTTCCACGGGATCCCCCAGCTCCCTCACTGCAAGATCAGCTTGAAGCCCAAAGTGTCCAAGTACCGTTGTAGTAGGTACTTAGTAGTACTTAGTAGGTATTTGGGCCCCCAAAGTATATACTATGCCCGTGCCTGGGCACTTTGGGAAGTGTGTTGATTTCGGGGTCGCGGTTTCGGCTGCAGGGTTCCGAACCCTAACCCGGAATCCGGCTTTCTTTGGGGCATTTCTGGCCTAAGGCATGAACCCCCAAGCCCTGGACCCAGTCTTCGTGTAGTCCTTACCAGCCCTTATGGGTAGTTTTTACATGATTCCTTATGGTAGTCCTTATAGAATCCCTTATACTACTAGTACTACTACTACTACTACTACTACTACTACTGCTACTACTACTACTAGCAGCCGCCTCCCCTACCCAATGAAGTCTCGAAGATGTCGATCGGCTTCTCCACCTGCTGACCGTCCAAGTACCTGGGCTTTGAGATCAGGGGCTTGGCAGATCTGTGGGGGTGGCAGTGGTGCCTGATTCATTAGGTTTTGTTTTGTTTAACTCCTTTTTCCGAGGCCCCGGGGTCTCGACAGGCTGGTACGATTCATTAGGGTTTAGGGTTTAGGGTTTGCAAGTCTTTGGACTTCATGTTTGGACTTTCAATGTTCGATTAGGGCCCAAGAGCCTACACAAGGCAGGCCACGTCCAAAAACCGTGAAATGAGGACAGTCTGAGGCCGTGAAGCAGGGCGGATGTGTGCAATCCTTCGCTTCTGAACAGACACGGATGCCTTTTCAGGGTCGGTTGCAGAAACACTTCGGATGTGTCGTGGGGATGTCGTAGCTAAGTTAAATGGGAAACCCGGCCCTAGCGGCCGCAGGAAGCGGCAAATTCGGTGTCTACGAGGAACAGTTAGTGTTAGAATGCGGCAGCTGTGCACTTTACCGGTACGGTTCACGTCAGAAGGTTGTTCAGATACAACGAACGCACATGTCTGGCCGCGGCACACGCTCATCTCGTCCCTGACAGTGTCGACGGTCACCGTCAACGAGTGCCAGCGGCCTGCGATCAATACCTCCCTGATCCCTCAACCATGAAACCATGAATCCTACCTGCACCTTAAAAACCTAAAGCCGACAACCTAAGCCCCCTAAACCGTAAACTAAAAGACACCCTTAAAACCAAAATCCTCAACGGCGGACTAGCTGGAACCTACGATCAATTGAAGCAATGATAGCCATGTTTCTTGGGTCTTATGTTTGGGAGGTTAGCAGAAACAGTAATGCAGGTCTGCAGACCCCAAGTAGAACGCAAGACTCTCCAGAAAAGGACGTGCAGTTTGAAGGAATCCGTTTGAGGGGTGAGTTTCCGCATACTTAGTAGGGCCATAGTTGCCCGAGCATCTTGGGTCGTAGAGAGTCAAACTCTTAACGGGAACCCTAAACCCAAACCCTAAACCTCCACAAACCTGGAACAACCCGCACGTGTGGCCTGGTAGTGCGCCTTGCTGCGGCGTCAAGGATTAGATGCATCGGATTTGAGATATAGTTGTGATAGTTGTCGTAGACACAGGTTTCGTCGTCGTCGTCGTAGTAGTAGTAGTAGTAGGAGTAGTAGTAGTAGTAGTAGTAGTAGTAGTAGGAGTAGGAGTAGGAGTAGGAGTAGGAGTAGGAGTAGGAGTAGGAGAAGCAGTAGCAGTAGCAGTAGCAGTAGCAGTAGCAGCAGGAGTAGTAGTACGTAGTCGTCGTCGTGGTGGTGGTGGTAGTAGTAGTAGCACTAGTAGCAGCAGTACGCATTAATAATAGCATCAGCAGGAGTCGTTTCCCAGAACATATTCTGAAAGGCGGCTTAGGCTTTGGTAGCTTGATGCGATTGGGGGAGCCTGGAAAGAGCTTTTTGTCGAAAATCTTGTCCTTGACTTTCAAGTGGCACGTCGGATGCCTGGCGATAAATGCAGCAGTAGGCCTGCCACACCTGATGCCTGCTACGAACGACTCGCAGCCAAACGGAGTTGTCGAGATGGTTGAGTTTGGGGTTGTGATTCCCCAGGTTGATCACTACTACGGGTACTCTCTGCTTAAAGCTCGCTTGCTGAACCCCTCTGGGGTTGCTGTGAAAAGACAGGACCCTAAAATAGCACGATCCTTCTCGAAGGACCCCTAAATGCCTAAGCCCTAACAACCCATTCCGAATGGTTGCAAAAACGTAAAGATAAAACCCTCATCGTGCCCTCGTAACACCCGATCAAAGCACTCACCTCCGAGCCCCTAAGCCCCACAAATCCCTTGAAAGAGTTCTTTCCGAAAAGTCAAGGAACACCACCAAACCCCCAAAGGAACACCGGGGCACGAACAACAAAACCCTAAACCCTAAACCCTAAACCCTAAACCCTGAACCCTAACCCAAACCCCTAAGAAGACCTAAACCCTAAACTCCAAACCCTAAACCCCTAAACCCTAAACCCTCAACCCTAAACCCTAAACCCTAAACCCTAAACCCCAAACCGTAAACCCAAAATAAGACACGCCCCCGGGAGGATCAGAGCCTGGAAGCTTTGGTATTTGCTCGGTCGACGGGCTCCAGGCAGGTGCGGTTGAAGGTCACCCAACCTGGCGAGGTTCAGGGGTTTGGGGGTTAGGGGTTTAGGGTGGGGTTAAGGGTTATCGCTCCTACTTAAAGGATCATGGGACGTAGTAAGTAGGGTTATAATTAAGGTAACTATACTTATAACCCCAATTAAGGGACTTATAACCTTACTTACCGGTTCTTTGGGGTTCTGCTAGGGGTTCTTTCATGGCTTTCGGTCAGCGCAACCGGCCGGGCTTTGCGGAGGAGTGTAGTGTTTAGGGATTCGAGGTTTAGGGTGCACGGTGTAGGGGTTGAGGGTGTACCTCCCGCCTGGCTGACTGGGTTGCGCTGCAAGGATTTAGAGTTGAAGGTTTGGGGTGGCGGTGAGGCGGAAGGAAGGGTTTAGGGTTTATAGGTTGTAGTGCACATGACGAGGGTGATGACGGTGGCCCTGACGGTGGTCATGCCGAAGATGATGCCATGGGGGGTACCGTCAAAAAAAGCACTCGGTCCTCAGGTGGTGCCTGACTTGTTGGATCTAGGGCTAGGGTTTAGGGCTTGAGGTTTATAGGGTTTGTAGGGGTGAGAGCTTATAGGGTTTATAGGGTTTATAGGATTTAGGGTGTTGGGTTTGGGGTTCAAAACCCTAAACCCTAAACCCTATGGGTGGAGGGGAGCTTCAACAGGAGTTGACATTGCAGGAGGATCAGCCCTGATTGACTTGGGGTTTAGGGTTTAGGGTTTTAAGGAAACTACAGGTGGGGAGTTTAGGGTATATTGGGCTTCTATACGGCTTCCATAAGATATATAGAGCCTTCTATAAGGCTCCTATAACGGTAACTAGCCACCTGAAAATGTCCTAGACTCATGTGGAGCGTTTGTGTGGCCCTAGGTGGTGGTGGTGGTGGTGGTGGTGGTGGTGGTGGTGGTGGTGGTGGTGGTGGTGGTGGTGGCAGGTGGCATTACAAGTTCGATAACTGGTATCTCGTATACAGTAACAGCTACAGAAGTAAAGATAACGGTGCTGCTCTTGATAATGAGTATAACATTGGTAAGAACACAGGTACTGTATGGCACACGTTTAAGTTTTGTAGATCCAGTTTAAACTGAACCTTAAGCCCTATGCTGCAAAACCCCAGCAACATGGGGGTTTCCGAAAATAGGGGGACCCTAATATAGTACTCCAAATAATAGGATCCCTATTATAAGGGCCCCAAAATAAGGTACCCCTAATTTTCGGAAACTCCCAAATAACACTGCTGCGGGTCCTTGCGGGTCGAGCTCGTCCGTTTCAAAGACCTGATCGCCCTGCTTGACCAGCCGCAGCCTTTGATGGACCGACCCAGAGACTCCAATATCCCTTAATTAAGGAATATTATTTAAATTAGAGTAGGATCCTTAATATGATTTAAGGTATATCCCTTAACTAAGGAATATTCCTTAAATAAGAGTAGGATCCTTAATATGATTTAAGGTATATTCCTTAATTAAGGGATATTGGAGTCTCTGGGGAGTTTAGGGTTAGGTTAGGACTGTTTTTGGTTTTTCTTTTCGAGCTTTAAGGCTTGAGGCTTCAGCCTCAAGGCTCCAAGCTTCAAAAGAAAAACGCGTGTTTATGAGTTTTTCCCTGAACACAACTGCTCTTCGGAGCTTGGCAAAACAAGTCTTGTGGGGAGCTTTCTAAAAACAAGGAGCAGAACCTCACAACATAACTACTATCCTAAGACGAGTCAAGGAAACTTGTCCAGATAAACGCTGCTTGCATTTTCGCGTTTCGACGTTCACGTTTCACACGTCCGGTTAGGGACAAACAGATGGAACATGCCAACAACCGAAAATAACCACGCACACCCACATCCCAGCTGTTGCCGTTACATACCCAGGCCCGGGATAACGTCACCAAACATCTGCAAGCAAGGCTTCGAATCGGTAAGCTTGACGGCTCAACAACCTTTGTTGACTCGGGTACGGCACCCCTAAACCCTAACCCCTAAACCCTAAACCCCGAAACCCCTAAAACCCTAAACCCCTAA